CGTTGGCAAAATGCACCAGGATCAACTGTCAGTATGGGTAGCAAGTAGTCCTCTGTCCTTTTGTCAAGGAGTATCAGTAGGGCAATACTTTCTTCAAGTCATCTGGAGATAAAGTTTGGCATGGAGTGTGGTGGGTAGAGCTTCTTCTATGCTCTTCCTGGTATGTCTGCCCCAAGACTCAAGTTTGAGCACATTTTATACGCATGGCATGTGGGAGAATTATCAGGTGACTTTGAAATGAGCTTGGAGTTTGAGCTATGCCATCATCTTGACTGGAATGGTCTGACTCTTTTTACCATATTTGGCCATAACATCAAAATTCATAGATGTCATCACCGAGATGTGACTTTTCTTACTCATAATTTTTCCCAACTGACAGTTCCCATCATTAATAATCGGTTGTTTGGACTAAGGTTCTCCATTAAATCTAAACATTGTAACAACTGTGCCTTGTAACAACATTCAATTGCCATTATGATCGGCAAGGAGGGGGAAACAGAGGAGGGTTTTCCCTGCTTCTTTTAATTTTTAACAAATTAATCTACTTATTAATTTGCCCTCTTCAGATTCTCACAATATATTTGTAATTTGTGACTTGTAGTTGATATGTTCTAGTGCTGTAGATTGTTCTGTGCAATTATTCTTTTCTGATCAATAAGCCTTTGTTTTGTCTGATCAATAAGCTCTTATAGTAATGAGATATGTGTATTCCTATGTTATAATGTCTAACAATGTTTTGTTATAGCAACATTGAGGAAATACAGTACATCTGTAATTACAGTGGTGCTTTGTATAACGTACTTAATCCGTTCCAGGTGCATGTCCATTAAGTGGAAAGTCCGTTACACAAAACACATTTTCCCATAGAAATACATGTTAAAACATATAATTTGTTCCGCAGCATAAAATAACCGTACTGTACCATGAAATAAATGAAAATGGAGTAGTCACCAATTATGCCGGGTAGTCAGATGTGAGGAGGAGGCGAAGGAACACTTTCTTCACACATTTATACAGATACAGACTTTTTACACATTGCAGCAAGTCTCTTTTTATTGTTTTTTAATCAGAGTCGGATTCAGGAGAGGCTACCGTAGCTTGCAGGGTCATCTCCTCTTGTTCCATCCTTTATTTTTTGGCAGCTTGCTTCTTGAAAAATATGTCCAACGTGGTCTGTTTCTCTCTCTCTTCTTCAAAACCTGTCGGAAATGACAGGCAAGGGTGTCATTGTAGAATTCATTGATCCTGTTGGCCTCAGCTCTGTTTGGATAATGAGTGTTGGTAAACTCCTGAACCTCTCCCCATTTGACAAGGAAGTGTTTGCCAACTTTCACTCCTTCTGATGATTTCTTGCTTTGTTTCAATTGAAATCACCTTTCTGTTTTTTTAGAAGCCATGATTTGCACAACACTTGAATAAATGTAAATACCCTACACTGAGGTGATGTACGTAATAAACAAGGGAGCAAGCCGAATCCCAACGGGAGCTCTGTACTTCAGATATAATAATAATATTATATTATAAAAATAGCAGATTGTCATTGGCAACGGCAAAAGAGTGGAAACATCATTCGCACTTTGTTCGCAGAAAGACCATTGTTCGCCTCATGTAACTGCCAAACAGAAAGTCCGTTGTTCGCAGCCAGTCCGTTGCTCGAGTCACGTAACAGCCAAACAGAAAATCCGTTGTTCACAGTGTCCGTTATTCGAGGCATACTTTATATGAGGCACCACTGTATTTACAATTATTGTTATTGAATTTTCTTTATAAATAGTAAATATTGATTCTATGAGATGGGAAATAAATGCTAGAGGTTGCAAATATGATCCAATTAGAATAAATATTAACCAAATTATATCTTGTTTTTATATCATTTAGCCTATAGTAAAACTGGTTTCATACACATTGTTTCACTTAACATCACAGTTTCCAAGAACCTATTGATGACATTAAGTGAGGATTTACTGTAGTTGTCTGTATATTGTCATACTATTTGAATTTTGTGATGATGTAGTAAGTACAAATGATGAAGTTGTTCATTTTTTGTGTCCATTTTATCCATTGGCATGGTTTTCTAGTTTCGGAGGTTAATGGCTGAATCACCACTGGAAAACTTTATCAGAGTTAGTGCGTGTTATCTAGTATGTTTAAATGAGATAATGATTGGGATTGTGATGCCCTAGCATACTTGGACCAGGATTGTGTTCAACACTAGTGACCAGGGACGTTATGGCAGATTTTTGAATGTGAGCCTGTCTAACCCACAGATGTAAGTTATACAGAGGCTCACATTCAAACCCAAATAATTNTGACACACATTTCGTGTGTTTTATGTGAGCAGTTCTGTTCGAACAGTTGGAGTAGAGAATATTGTAAGTTACTGCTAGCAAAACAATGCGAAATATGTAATTATTTTCGGTAATCCGGACACTTTTGGTAATCTGACACACCTTTGGTCCCATACCTGTCGGATTATCAAGGGACAACTGTAATATTCAAAATTTCTTATAAATAAGTGCAAAAATTAAATTAAGTAATGTTTATATTTATATTAGCGAGGTTGAGGCCAAAATTTTAAATGGGAAAATGTGTACGTCAGACGTTCAGCACCACTTTCCTGTAAGCCTAGAAGTTTGACAATGGTGTTTGGAATATCAAGCATGATTCCACTGACTATCCAAACATCTTTGTCAAACTTCTAAGCTTACAGGAAAGAGGTGCTGAATGTCCGACATACACGTTTTCGCATTTAAAGCTTCAGCCTCAACCTAGCTATTGTAAATTTTTCTTTTCTTGTATACTATATTTCAGATGTTTATGATCATATTAAACTAATAATGGTTAGATGATTAGCTGAAAATGTTTTTAATTAAAATTTTTACTAAATTAAGATACCATATTTATGCATGCACAGGCCACATCCGTGTATAAGCCACACCCCATTTATGAAACAATACATTTGGAAAAAATAAAAAACTTAGAATTCTGCAAACGACAAGAGAGAGATATGGATATACAGAAATATGGCAACACTCCAAATTTCAAACATGGATGAAGTAATGGTTAATGCTTATTGTTGACTGCTTGCTCAGTGTGTGTTAAACATGGTTCAAGTGAGAGTGAGTTATACAGTGAAGTTTAAATTGAAAGTGGTGCAGTACGCACAAGAAAATGGAAATTGTGCAGCAGGAAGAAAGTTTGATGTAGACGAAAAAAAATGTGTGGCGATGGATTCAAACAAAGGACACTCTTGAGAAAACATCTCTAAAATTGGTAATCATTTCACAGAAAGACAACAAAATATGACCTGGAAACAAATCTGTTGAAATACATCTGTGAAATTCAGGCAAATGAATTTTCTGAATCTGTTAAAATGATTCAGTTCAAAGCTTGAAGGCTCAAAATATGAAAATTTCCAAAAGTGAATTTAAGGAAAGTTATGGCTAGGCAAGATGTTTTATGGCATGACATGAGCTTGTGATTTGGTGTCAAACTTCAATGGCACATCTACAAAGAGAAATTGCTCGCATTTAAAAACATGTCCTCAGCTTAAGAAACACACATGGCTACAACTTCAGAGCAATAGGCAATGCTGATAAAATTCCTGTCTTCTTTGATATGCCAAATAACACTACAGTCAATCGAAGCAAGTTAAAAAACAGTTCTGACGTGAACAGCAGGAGCAGAAAAGTAGTGTTGTACTGTAATGCTGTGCATCACTGCTAATAGAAACAAGCTGGCACATTATGTCATTTTTAAGCGTAAAACTATGCCAAAAGAAAGAAACACTACATCTGGAATATTGGTACAAGTTGAAGATCAAGACTGGATGACAGAAAAATTCTGCATAAATTGGCTGAAGTCAGTGTGGTTTCAATGTCCAGGTGCACTGTTACATCAACAGTCTGTGTTGGATGTTGACAGCTTCCGAAATCATCTGACTGAAAGCATGAAAAAGATGAAGAGAAAAGTAACATGGTTGTGATATCAGGAGGGATGACTGGAATGCTACAACCACTTGATGTATCCATCAACTATCCTTTTAAAGTTCATATGTGACATTTCTACCATGATTAAAAGTGCACTGCAATGGAGATGACACCAACTAGGAGGCTAAGAAAACCATCCTGGTCTCAGATGTTTGAATGAATTGCAGCTTCAAGTAAACTAATACCAAAAGAAATGGTATCCAAAAGTTTCAAAGTCACATCCATTTCCAATGCAATGGATGGGTCAGAAGATGATGCAATGTATCTTACATCATCTGAGAATGAAGACTCAAGTGACACTGGTAGTGTAAGTTAAGTTTCAAATGAATTACAAACAATAGCTGTAAGTTTCAAATGAAGACATTAATTATAATTTTTATAGTCCTGTAGCATTATTGCTTAGTTGGGGCCTCAGACAGCTCTCTTCTTTTCTTCTTTTTCACACCTTTTTCTTTTTCTTACTTCTTGGTGGCCTAAAACCTCTAAATAATCTACATACCTTAGGACTTGTAGCAAAAGACAACTAATGATAATAAATTGCTTTAGAATTTTAAATCGTTTTAAAATTATTCATTATCTTGAGTATAGGCTATACCCTAATGTTGGACCAAAAATTTAGGGTAAAAAAGTGCAGCCTATACATGCATAAATATGGTTCATGTTTTTATTGATTTCTTAAATATTGTTTAATTGAAATTTATATTGTATATTTCAATTGAAAATGAGAATTACCAGATTATTATTAAATTTTGTTTCAGTTCCATTTGTATTCATATATCAAACAGTTTCATGTTTTAAAAATTATCTTCATTTTTATCATTTCCATATTTTATATTCATGCAGAAATAATATCATTTTTTGACAAATATTCTTTTATAAATTCTTATTAATGAAAAGCATTGGCAACAGAAATTTAAAATTTTAATTATTCCAAATTAAAAATTATAATACAAATAATATTATAATATAAAACTGTAATATTGTAATTAAAGATTATCTATATGACCTAACCTGTAATGCAAGTAAAGCAAATACCATAAGACAAAAAACAGTTAGAGTCATAACTTCTGCTAACATTCTAATTGAACATAACATGGCATTCACAATAGTCTTGAGACCTAAAATTTGAAACAAACATAAAAATTACAATTAAATGAGTAAACTTATTTAATAAAATATGGAAATACAGTAGACCCCCCTGTAACGCGGGTTCATATAATGCGGATTCGTATATCGCGGCGAAAAAATTGCGACCGTATTCGTATAAAGATGCTAGAAGAGACTCGTAAAATGCAGTAAAACGTCACCGCCGACTCGTGTCACAACAGGATTGGTCGAATCTGGACCAATAGTGGACGAGCAGCCGAACTACTTACACATTACTGAGAGTTTAGGTGGGTAAGTTGAGTTTACTATCGTCTGTACAGTATATAGGCCTAAATTAGGTACTGTAAGTCTAATACAGTACTGTAATTTTATACATTTCTTGTGAAAAAAACATTTCTTATTCAATGGCCATAAAAATTATTTCTATTAACGATGTCGCCAAAGTTTAATGAATTTTTTGCAGAAAAATAGCTTATCAGAAAATGCGGCCACCATTTGGTGCGCTGCTCCGCGACGAAAACAAGCTTAAGCAATGGCGTGGTCAAACAGTGCACACTCAGTAAGTAATCCTACAATTTTTTGTTTATAGCATAGTTTATACAGATTATTCCCAAAAAATTATACGTGTTTTGGAAATGTTGAGTGAAATTAGTCTAGAATTGATTAATTTTATGGAAGAAAACCTTTCAAACAGCCGTAGTCCGTAAACTGCACACATGCCAGGCTGTGATTGGCTCATGTATTTGAGGATTCCTACAACGCGAAATTCTTATAAAGCGGAACGTGTCTATCGCGTTATGGGGGGTCGACTGTACAATAATTTTAAATTTATTTAATATGTTTTTATTTATTATTTTTATATTTTATTCAGTTGACATATTGTTGTATAGTGGAATTATCTAGGATTTAGCTAATTACTAGATTATTTAATTATTTCTGTTTTCTTCTAATAATACAGTAGCCAACGGATACATACAGTTCCAAAAAGCTTTCAGCAAATGAACAAAGAAAATTTACCATATTTAAGCTGTAATTGCAATTTGTAATGATAATATATATAGTATAGAGATTAAACCAAGAAGAATAATCCAAAAACATGCAATTTATTATTAATACATATAATGCTACACTGAACCTAAGTGTTATTTCACACCATAGCTACACCAGGTCACCAAAAGAATGGAGAACTGTCAGTGCAAAGATCATTTTGGATCCCTCTTTTGAAGACCCTGCTTATACAAATAACATAATGATATTAAAGTAGAAAAATAATCTAGTATGATTTAGATTTATACTAGATTATTTTACTGTGGCCGAACATTGTCTGTTTTTTAACTTGTGGCTAAAAAACAGACAATTTTTAAAATTTTTTACCTCTGATAAGTCCCCAAAACTTGTGGGATCTGGGGCAACTCCCCAGCTGCATTCTTCCCTCATCGGGCCTGTTGAGCACTGTAACAAGAACTTGCTGTTCACAGTTATGGAATAAAAAAAGAAAAAAGTTCATACCATAATAGGCCTGAAAAACAACGAGAACAGTTATTTCTTGTTGAACAAGATTCTAATACCTCATAGGGCCACCTCAAGTCTTAGCAGCAGCTTTACAACACTTTAACATAGAATGAATGAGTTTCTTCAAATATTACATTTTGTTATTGATAAATACTATAGTAAACAACCATACACTACTCCAAGGTATAGTCAAGAGTCAAGTATAACATGACTTAAAATTTTTCATGTGTGTTTGTATTCCAAAAGCTTTTACATTTGATCAAACATCCATTTAATGCCTGAAAAAGAACTCTGATGGAGTTTGAAAATGTTTGTGGTGAATTTTTCATTTTGTTTTTTCTAAGCACGCCAGTCATCGGTTTGTTGGGTATGTTGTTGTATACTATACTTAATGTGATATTATGATGAAAGAAAGATAATTATTGTACAGCATATCTGGCAATGCTGAGCAGCACCAAATAGTAGCAGCAGGTTGATGCAACCAAGGAAATTTGAAATTATGCTAGCCAAAATAAGTATTAGATTAGTGATGGTCAACCTGTACACTTTTTATACTTACAGGGTGATTCAAAAGTCACAGAAATTTTTTAAAAATTAATAATAATTTACAAACTATTTACAGTAAGATGATGTGGTTTTCACAGAAATGCTTAGAAAGAAGCGTAATTTTTTCTAGGTGTCATAAAAATTTTAGTACCAAAATAGTTACATTTCTTGCCGTAGATGGCACTGTAAAAACTGAAATCATTTGTAAATTTGTTAAAGTAAGAATAAAAAAATAAAAATGTTCTTAGTGTAAGCACTAGTAACAACTTCACAAATTATGTAATCTTATCAAATGCCGTCTATGGCAAAAAATGTAACAATTTTGGTAATAAAATTTTTATTGCACATAAAAAAATTCCATTTCCTTCTAAGCATTTCTGTGAAAACCACATCATCTTACTGTAAATAGTTTGTGAATTATTAATTTTAAAATTTCTGTGACTTTTGAATCACCCTGTGCATAGCATAATTAATTTACCACATGTCTGTATTTTGCATATCCAATATATTATAAAAATTAAAAATTGAATTTTGACTATTTACAAAAAATTTTTTTAATTTTTCGAGTCTATCTTTCATCCTTTTAACACACCATGTTATCATGTATGCTGTTATATTATAAAAAGATCAATATTAAACATCAATAATAATCTGCTTTAACAATTTTCCAACTTGTTATGTTATCAGTAAAAAATAGTAAATTTTATTATTTTACCTGGTAATATAGAAACTGTTTTCAAAGCTCTTAAAACACGGAATGTTCGTAAACCTGCAAGATTACCAAATCCTACTCCAAAAGCTTGAAGAGCAATTGTTAAATACCTAAAAGTACACAAAATATTTATATTATATTTAGAAATATTTTTAAAATATTTTTTGTTACATGTAAAAATAAATAGTTACATTTTTAAAATTCAAACATATATTGTTTTTATGTGGGCAATCCAAAAAGTTACTTACATTTTGGCCACTAAGGGCACGGGATTGGGCTAGAGCCATCATTTTGGTGTCTGAGTGTACCTTCACTCATTATGCATTCAGCTGTGTTTGTGTATGGTTTGTGTTACTTCTGCTTTGTCCACTGTAAATTTTTAAAATGTGTGCTTCAATTGAAAATCCTACAAGTTGTGAAATGCAGTCAGTGATTAAGTTTTTGTTGTCAAAAAACCACAAACAAATCATTGACATTGATCAATTGGCAATTTTGTGAGGTGTCCGGAAATGATGTAATGAGTGAAGGTGGAGCAAGGCAGTGGTGCATTATGTTTAAAAATGGCCACACTAATGTTCACAATGAAAAGCAAAGTGGCCAACTGAGCATATTTGATTAATAAACTGATGACAAAAATCAATGGAAAGATTTGTGAAAATCATCGCTTTACAATTATGAAGCTCTCTTTTGCGTTTCCACAAATTTCAATTTGTTGCATGAGGCTATAACACACAAGCTAGGCTACCATAAGTTTTGTGCTAGATGGATACCAAAAATCTTGTCAGATGACCACAAAAAACAGCACACGACAGCATCGTTGACATTTCTGGAAGCCTACCACAGAGATGGTTATTCACTTCTCAATCGTGTCATAACTGGGGATGAGACTTGGATAAAACATGTAAATTGTGAGACAAAAAACCAGCCTATGGAGTGGGGATACACAAGTTCCCTCACAAAACCAAGGAAATGTTTGAAAATGTTGTCAGCAAGAAAGATTATGGCGACTGCTTTTTGGGACAAGAAGGGTGAATTTCCTCAAATGTGGTTCAACAATATACTCTGAGATATATTGTGAAACATTAAAAAAAGTTAAAAACAGTGATTCAAAACAAATGTTCGGGAAAATAAAATTGTGTTCCAAGATTTTGTTCCATCAGGTAACCATTCAGTCACATCTGAAGAACTCGAAAGGAGTTAGAAAACATTTGTACAGTATTCATTTTTTGTATGCATTGGAGTTGGTTCTGTGTCTGTTGTGCTGTACATATATGCTTTTATGGAGAGGTGTATGTTAATAGTGGTATTTTTTCAGGTGGCCTTGTAAATTTCTACTTGTTCTAAATATCTGAGATGTTGTTTCTATGTGGAGCTATATATGAAGTGTCCATAGTCAAAATGCATGTCTATGTTGGGGTTGGAAGCAAAGGTGGCTAAAGCAGTGTTAGCTGAACTATTCACGATGGAATTCCAATGCTCTTTGAGGTGGATGTTTAAAGAGCATATTGTATCACCTATATACTCCAAGGGACAATTAGTTCTGTGATATGAGAAAATATTAGCTCTGTTACTTTATTCTGCTGGTTTTGGTTTTGGTACTTGTATTAATTATTTATTACTATTACTTATAAATTTATAGTTCTCCCAATTTAATGTTCAATAATGTATGCTGAGTGCTTCCAGATCTGTACCCTCAGGGTTTTATTGTACAGAAAAAAATTACCAAATTCTTTTTAGTATATATTTGTGAAACATACTGTATAATTTAAATCTTGTGAAAATTTGTACTGTATATACAAGTTATTTATGTAAAAGCTTGAGTTATAAATTATATTAAATTCATAAGCCTATTAAGTAATTTTATTTTATACTTACCCTGATAAAATAACAATAAAATCCAACCAATTCCAAGCATTTCTTAAGTAAGTAAATTTATTTAAAATAAAACCTTTCGCAATTGATTTTATAATCATTTCTGCTGTATATATGCTAAGAAATACATACCTGAAATAAGGACATTATATAAAATCAAATCAATATTATGTAATCAAGCTATAATTCACAAAAAGTTTATTTGTAACTTATATTATATGAGGATGATTTAACGTCTGTCCAGAATTTCAGTATGATGATGGAACTGTTAGTGTTATATAGTCCCAACTTGTTTATTTCTCTAGACCCGTTTCAAATGCTCATATTTAACATTGTCAAAATGATGGGAAAAGTCAGTCAGTATGTGCAGGGAAGTATCCAGGGAAAAAACATAAATTCAGACTATATAACACTCACAGTTCCATCATTTTACATTTTACATTTACTAAAGGATTAGAAGGCCACCACCAATAGGTATAGCCTTGGAAAAGGAAAGATGAAGAGTTGTAGAAGAAGTGAGAAGAGTGAAGAGAAGAAAAAGGGTAGATAGGAAAAAGTGAAATATGACATCTCAGAGCACCTGCCGAATGCCATTTATTAAACACAAAAGTACAAATAGCCAAAATACAATGGAATACAGTATAACTGCCCCTGTTTTGAGGCAGTAGGAGCCCCATTATGGCTGACTTGCCTTGGAGCTCAACAAACAATCATGCGCAAATGTACAACCCGAATGGGGGTATAGACAAATACTCCATGGGAGGGAACAAAAGAAAACAACCGTTTTTACAAAAAACAGCCCCAAACTGGGTAAAATGACCCTTAACAGCTACCTTGCCAAAGGGCCTGCACACAAACTAATGCATATGTACATCCCCTATCAAGGGGGAGAGAACCTCCATAACCTTGGAGGTTACAAAAACGCTAGCGACAAACTTCGGTAAACGGACCAGAGACAATGACATTGTTCCTTCAGGTCCAGTGGTACGTGACCACAGCTGTTAAGACACCAACCATTTTGAAACAAAGAACAAAGAACGGTGCCACAATTTATGCCCGTGTAACATTACAAGCCTACCATGCAACGCCTTGAGGCACAGGCAAAAATAGGGGCAGCCGCAGACGCATAGTCCCAGAGCAGACCTTCACAAATGCAAGCCCGAGTTGAATGTTACCAGTTCCATCACCTAAATTTTGGACAGAAGTTAAACCATCCTTATATTTAGAACATACAGAATTCAAATAAGATATAAAAATATTTCATTGTCTAAATGTATGTTTGTTTTAAATAATGTATAACATACAGAGTAAAAATATTAACTATATCAATTGTGATTTTATAGATTTTTAATATTATAAATTTCATTCTAAAGGAATAAAAAATTTAATTTGCTTTTAGTCTCTGAAGACATGCATATGAAATAAGTTTTTTTAACTTGTTCTATAAGATTAAATGTTTCAACATTTACTGCAAAATGATTCATTCTAGTATAGTGATAATTTTAATTTCTAAATTACTTTCTAGTTTCATAATTTTCATAGTTTATAAGTATACATTTGTAAATTGTGCATGAAACTTTATCACATAAACTTCATATACATAAAAATGTCTTAAGCTGGATCCAATATTTTAATCATTCTTATTTTACTGAAATATGTTTTATTAATTGTTTATTTTTATTTATTTATTGTTATTATTTTATGTATTTTATTCATATATTCATTATTTTTGTTATTTTAAATTTATACTTTAATTCAAATATTGTATTTTATTTTTAAATGTATTCTTTTATTTGATGTAACTGAAGAAAGTCAGTCAAACTGATCAAAAACGTTTTTAATTTTAATAAATACATTACTAAGATTAAGAAGGTAATTTTTATTTATATTTTACCTGAAAATACCATGATAGATTAGTTGATCCAATATTTTTAGCTGAAATTTCTATTTTTTTAAAATTTTAATTTAAAATAATTTATCAATTTATCAATTTCCATATTAATTCAAGTACTCTCATATAAATAATTTATTTAAAGTAAAAAACTTGCATAAAATTGTCATTGATTTCAACTTCCAAATACCAAACAAAATTCATATTCATAGAAACTTCTAAAAAATAATTTTAATTCTAAAAAATAATATCTTAGATTAAATTAATATTGAAACTAAAAAATTAATACATTACAGAAATAATATTTTAATTAACAACAACAAAACAAAACAGTTCAAGTAAATTTTGAAGTTCTTTTAAAATAAGGTGGTCGCCTTATTTAAGATGTGGGATGTCTGGTTCTTTTAAAGTCCATGTCCTTCATCGTCCCACCAGGATGCCTAAATGCCCCACTTCCATTCGAGAGTAAAAATACAAGGCAACAAGCTCAACAAATAAATCAACCATTTGACAGTTCATCTATAATGTATGCCTACATTTACAGCAGGCTATGCATCATAGTGGAAGTGTATGTTGAAATATAGTGCCATGCCACAAGGGAATGAGCTTCTGTTGGCAGATATCCTGGAATAGTTTATTTCTAATGTTGGGTGAGCAGTCTGTGGATGAGGAACTTGAAACTAAAGGTATGTCCAGAAAAGGTGTGTAGGGATGTTTTAAATTTAACACATGGGAGAATCTGGCATTCTCCAGGGGCCTCAAAATGACATTGTACAGTAAAACCCAGTTAAGATGTTATGTTCCTAAATGATGTTTTCCTGCCTATGTTGTTCAAATTCTGCAAGTTCTGTCATTTCAACTATAACACGTGTTAAAAATTCCCACAAAAAATGACATGAGATGTTACAATATATTGGTCCCATAAAGCAATTTTTACCCCTTAAAATGCACAAAACTATCTATATCATTGACATCACTATATCAAATAGACATAATCTACAAAATACGCAAATATATTGAACTCTCTCAAGAAGTAAAATGTCTGTGGAAAATGAATAAAGTCCAATAGTTTTCTCTCCACAGGAGTTATTCCACATTCATTACATTGAAGCCTGAAGCCAATTCACTTAAATTTACATAGATTTTTACAAAAAGATACCATTCTTGAAACTTGTCATATTCGATATAAAATCTGAGAATGATACACAGTAAAAATAATAATAATAATAATAAAATTTAATTTATTGACTTAAAAACATTCAGTCTGTTTTAAAAAAAATTTTTAATTTAAATTTCTTGCATAAGTAACTTCTAGTATTATCTAATACTGGGAGGAACTTATTTTTATGTTTGAATTTCAATTTATTTTTATTTTAAATTTTAAAAATATATAGAGTTAAATTCTTGTATTTTTGTTCAGTTTACTATTAAAATACATATCTATAACCTAACTATATTACTTTTATGATCCATCTATAACTTTTCTACCCAAAAGCAGATGAGACTTGTTCAAGCAATGCAGAAAATATATGGATCAGTACTGGGCTGTGTTCAGTAACAGAATTCTTGCTAAGTTTAGTTATGCTGCGATGTTGAACTCATTTCTAACTACTGCTTGACTCCTCCCACCACTAAAATTCTAGCTAGTTCAGTCAGCTTCTTTTATCTATACTAACTTCTACTATTGATGTCATTGTTTTTTGTCTCATCATATGATTTGCAAGATGGCTGCTCATGTTGGACTAAATGTATTTTATTATAAGAATTACAAAGTTATTCTCTCATTCTAAATCATTAATTCATTCTAAAATGACTTTGAAATGTAAAATTATCACATGTCAGTATAACTGATTCTGAATACATTTTAATGGAAGATAGAGGTCCATTTCGTTGATTACAATTAATAATTGCTTTATTAATTTCATCACAATCTGACACAGCTTCCATTTGAATAATTTATTGGTTACTTCATCCTTTTCAACCAATTGGTTTGCGACAATTGTTGCGATCATAATTTTAACTTCGTCCACCATTTTGCCTAGTTGTCTAACTAAGAATAATCATTCAATGATGCTTAGAATATTCTTAGCTCTGCCCACTAAGCCACTCAGAATTCTAACTTAGGTGTACTGCATTAGTGAACATGGCCCTGATCCATACATTCCAGTCCTAGCAGAAGGGGTGCTTATGGAGCTGCAAGACCTCACTGATACCAAAGCAATCAGTTTTATTACTTTAAAATAGAAATAAATGTATTAATGCATATTGCATGACTTCAATTAGGTAGGATTAGGTAACTAAAGTACTTTTAAGATAATTGAATAATATTCTCAAAAAATAAAAAATAAATAAATAAAGGACACAAGCCTTGGATCTGCCTAAATTGTCATTGAGCAGTATCCATATTCTGAAAATCCTGGATATGCCACTGCCTACTGGTGCCTGGAAATTTCCTGAAAATACATTTCCCAATGGCCTCCTCATCTGTGCCTGTTTCTACTATCAGGTCAGTCCATAAGTTTGTGCGAATTTTTATCTACAAAAAAAGCAACAAAAAATTTTAATTAAATCTTCTTTCAATCTATAATGTATTCACCATTATTTTGTACAATTTCTTGCCATCTTCATGGTAGCTTTTTAATCCCGTCTTTGTAAAATGATTTCGGTTTCGAATCAAAATATTCAGAAATAGCCTTTTTTACATTGTTCTCATCCTCAAAAGTTTTTCCTTTTAAAAAATTCTGCAAACTCCGAAAAAGATGATAATCACTGGGAGCAACATCTGGCAAATACGGTGGATGAGGTAAAATTTCCCAGTTGAAGCTTTTGAGTTGAGCAGTTGACGTTGTTGTCAGTTAGCTATTGACAGTTCATGTGGTATCCATTTTCTTAGCTTTGAAACTTTTCCGATTTGTTGTAGATGTCTATGAACAGTTCCATAGGATGAATTTAAA